TGGGCGCCTTCAGAGAGTCGCAGAAAACGGGCTTGTTTTGCTTGGGTTGCTGGGAGGGCTTAGTGCAAAGTTACACTCTCCCTTCTATATTTTTATTTATTTGTTTGTTTTTAAAGAGGAGCTGCGCGTGCTGCTGCGAGCCCAAGGGTCGTGTTTTGCTCTGCTCTCTCCAAGGAGGCTGGAGCTGTCGTGCTGCCAGCAGCACGTCGGCCCCCTTGAATCCACCTCTCCGGGGAACGTCTTGGGTTGCTGGGAGGGCTTAGTGCAAAGTTACACTCTCCCTTCTATATTTTTATTTATTTGTTTGTTTTTAAAGAGGAGCTGCGCGTGCTGCTGCGAGCCCAAGGGTCGTGTTTTGCTCTGCTCTCTCCAAGGAGGCTGGAGCTGTCGTGCTGCCAGCAGCACGTCGGCCCCCTTGAATCCACCTCTCCGGGGAACGTCTGCAGCCACCGCAGGCGACACGGGGCGACTGCGTCTCCCAAGAGCCGCGTCCCGGGAAGGAGCGTTGTTGCGTGCCCGTCTGTTTGTGGAGGTAGGGATCCCGCCGGGAACGCTTCGCCCGCATGTGCCCAGCCTGGTGCCTTGCGCTGGGGTTGGTGCAGGCTCAGGAACACGAGGGTCCCACGTTACCCTGTCGTGCCCTGAGACCCACAGCCCCGTGACCTCCACCTGCTTCCATGGTGAGGCCTCAGCTCTCCTCTGCTCTCATGCAAGTGTAGCGCATGACCTGTGCTCAAAACGTCTTCCATTTTAACCGAAAATCCCTATTTTTTCCACCCAGTCCACGGTGATTATTGTCCAGGTTACCAGTTTGTGGGTATGGGAACTGTTTGTATGATGCACTGGCCGAGCATCCTTGTCTATGCTCATCTGCAGATTTTCAAAACTCATCTTCGGTTTTCAGAAGTGAGAGTGTCTAACTTTTTTTTTTTTTTAAAGAGCTTATTATGTTAATTTTATGAGTGTGCCCGCTGGGGAAAGTACATGACTGAAGTGAGCATTAGTGGTTTACTTGTCCGAGCTCTTTTCAAGCTTAGCTCTTAAGAGTGCTGTTGACCTTTTGGTTGCTTTCCAAAAGCAGACGTCATCTCAAAAAAATCAAAATAAGGAAGAGACAAAAATCTGACAAAAATTTTTGCTAGTTACAGTGGTGGAGAATCTATCCTTCATAAGACCATCTAAGGCCTAGTATTCGTATGACCTGTCCAGATGTAAGAAATGTCTTTCAAGCTATAAAATCAAGCTATGATTGATTTTAAAAAATGACCCTGTTACTGACAGTGTGACCTGAAGTCGTGGAGCAGTTGTCAAAATAAAAGTGGTAAAATTGATTAAATAACCATTCTCATTGCCAGTAAAGTTGCATGGGCCCGTTCCTTCCTCTGCCCCGACATGGCTGAGTCTTGGGTTGTGTTGTCCCTTTTTGTAAAATACAAGATTCACAGTTCTTGCCTAACTCCAGAGCGGTCTAGAGTCCTCTGTGTCAAATGGCTTAAGAGCCTTTTGTATAAGGCACTAAACCAGTGTAAAGTCATGCTGGCTTTGTTATTCGTCCACAAAATTTTGTTTCGCATATTTCTCTCTTATGCAGAGAAGTACCTGATGCTTTCAGGACCACAATGGGCTATTTTATACTTGAGATTGCAGTAGAACACATTCAGTTCTAGCTGGGCTGTGCATGGGGGAAATGTGCACAGCCCGCTCACATGGGCTATGTTCTGCACACACGAATCGTTGAATCCCTGATTCTGAAGCAAAAAATGACAAAATGCACTTGTTGAAGAAGTAGTCATATAAAAGTGATTTAAAATGTATTAAGGGTGCAATTGTTTTGTAACTATAGGTATGTGTGCTCTCAAAATGTTGGTATCACTTTAGTGAAAGTTAGTTTCTAACTGACTTCTTGTTTTGTTATTAATTTTTCATTTCCCACTTTCATATATTTAGACCTCAGAATCAGTGATGTGTGAATGTTATTTGCATAACAGATATGCAATAAAACAGTCTGTGTTAGTGTCTCAGAATTTTCCCTCCTAGATATTTTAGGTACCTGACATACTTTCTTAAAGGCCAAATTCTGTCTCTGGTGAAGTTCATCATAACAGAATTGTGCCTAAATATATACAACATCAGGAGTCTTTATAGGATTTTAGACATGCATATTAGAAGTAGTAGGACTGTCTTTCTGTCGTTACTGCTGCATATGAATAGAGTAAGTGTATAGTATATATAGTATATATATATTGTTTGCAATACCAAATATCAGATTCTTTCTCAGTATGTTTTGACCATTTATGCAGTTACTTGTCACAACAAATACAGAAATATATTTTGGCAGGTGCATTTATGCATAGAAAAATTAGTATCATCTGCCCATATTCTGCTTGGGGAAGCTAACTGGAGAGCCCGTGCACCTGCTTTGCATAGCTAACTTACCAACTATGAAACTTGCTTTTAAGCTCACTTTTATGTCTTGACTTCCTAGGTTGCAGGTTAAATTTATTAATGTATATCAAGACCTATCTATTCTCCAAGCTAATGAAAGATCCTCTTTTGGCAGATCCCAAAGCTCCAAAGTCCTCTCTGACTACAGTGGAAGCTAAGTAAATATCGTAAGGTTAGATCACAGAGCCAGGTCTTGCACTTTTTGCTCACGCTAGTCTTATTTCTGCTGGATTTTGGTAGGGGTAGAATGGAGGGGTGCAATCCTCCTGTCTCTGTCCTGTCACCTGTTCCATGGTGCTGGCTGGAGCAGGGAAGAGGTCCCTAGTCATGGCTGGTGTTGCTTTTCATGAAAGATTTGAAGATGCTCTTGAGAGCAGCATCATTGGTTTGCTGTACCCAACCATTTGCATGGTTGTTATTTGAATCAATGTGTTTCAGAGGCTTTAAGTGTCTAGATGGTATTTTTAGAAATGGTGGGACAAGTTAGTCCTATTTGGTGGGAACAGGGTTATGCTTGATAAAAGCTTTCCCCATTAAGCTTAGTTCCCTGTTTTGATTCCGCTGCAGCATGCATTAAAAAACATGGCTTTCCGGAGCTAAATATAAAAGTGCTAGACAAATGTCAGACCTAAAGCATTGAGGCCTCCTAGGAAATAAAATATTTTATCAAAAAGAATATAAAAGCTGTACAGAAATGTAATGCCAACCATTAAGCCGTTACAGCTTTTTATTTGTCAGATCTTTGTCAAATGCTAGTAACAGAGCCATGGCATGTTTCGTATTTTTAAATTTGTTTGTATGTTTCTTGTTGGTTAATGGTAAAAGGTTTGTTTTAGCAAGGCAATATTTTTAGAGGCCTTGATAAAATATTTTATGTCAGTTTTCGTATATGAAGTCAGTTTAGAAAAAAATAAAAAGAGCTGTCCGAATGAAATTGCATGAAAATGTGATGAAAAGTTAGGAGTCACTTTAAATAGCTGGACTAAATCAGAAGTGAACCGAAGCTTCCTGGGGTGAGCAGCCCTACTTGAGCAGGAATTCCTCTGCCAGCACTCACAGTGTCATCAGGGACTTGCCACATTTCGTGCCCAGATGAGAGTGTTGGCAGCTATCAGTAAGCATCCCTATTTAAAAATAGTAGACAGAGCTTTTATGATAGAGTTCCAGGAAATGCGGGAATATTCTTATGCACAGGCTGTACAAAGAAGACTTTTATTGAGCTGCAGAGTTTGCTGGATGCTTCAGTTTCAAGGTGTAAGTAGAACAAATGTGTTTAAAGATTAAAAATCTCTTATACTTTCCTCCAGTAAAACTGCAAAGCCAAAGGTGAAATGTGTCTCAAGGCAACTAATACTCATCTGATCAAGTATTACCAGGGGTTTCTTTTACACAGGCTGGGGTAGTAGACTTTAAAATCTTTTTCAAAAAGGTGCAATGGAGACTTGTATCTGTACCGGTAATTTGTGTTAGTACTTTCCTTTTGATGAACTAAACTAGTCTTTGAGCCTGCTGAATAGCTGGATGTCTTCCCTGGTAAGAACTGTGTCGTCTTTTACCTAAGGATATATAAATATCCCAGTTCTGAAATCCTGTCAATTGCTACAGGTTCCCTCCGGTGTAAATGTTGATTTTAAATCTTCTAATTGATAAGCTCAAATTGTTTTGTTCAGGGATGCTAAAATCCTGTTCCAGCTTCTACTGAAGTCAAAGACAGGCATCCGCCAGCTTCAGATAAAATTTGATCTGGCCTAAAGGGTAAGGACTAGGGCTGCCAGGGAGAATAGAGCTGCTTTCATCTGAAAATTGAAAATCCTGCTATCTTTCTCAGCATGCTGCTACTCTGCTAAATCTGCTTGCTCAGTGGCAAGTTATTAGAAACATATGTTGTCCCTGGAGAAAAAGAAATAATGAAAATATTCCAAAGAATTTTAGTATAATTTTGTGTTTGTATGTGATTGGAGTAACAATATGGAATTGTGTGTTCTTTTCAAGGATTTAGGTAGGTATTTTGTAATCTAAATAATAGTTCTTTTAATAAGCAAGTCCGTAAAAGAGCTCCATAGCTTATGGTTTGCTTATGGTTTAAGGCACTAAAATTTCACTTTCTGGCTCAAGACTGTGGAAAAAACTTTGGTTTTTATTTGCCTTAAAAGAGTGCACTTAGTAATGCAGTGAATAAGAGAATTACTTTTGCAAAGCAGTGAAAAGTGTAAGAACTTATTACAAACCTAATGATTTAGCCTCGAGGACAGTTACTTTGAAGTAATAACCCAGCCCGCAGTCGGATACTCACTGCTCATGATAGCTGCAAAGTCAAGTGTCTCAGCTCAACTTATCTCTGTTACAGCCGAAGGAAAGTTGCACTAACCCGGTTCCCATAGGTTAAGTGTTTAGCAGGGCGCAGTTGCTGCATCTCTGCACAGTAGCTTTGTTTCAATGCAATATTTGCCTGTGAGCTCGACTCCTGAACCTCACTAAATTCTTTTTACACTTGGTTCGGCTTTGAAGCCCCCAGATACTTTGGTACATTTGCACGTACCATCATAATCCGGAGTCATACATCTTTGAACCAGAATTGAGATTTTTTTAATGACTAGGTTGCATCGTTTTACAGGCAAATGTAACTTTTTGTCAGGCTCCCTGTCCCTCAGGCCCTGGGGAAGGACTCTCTGGCCAGGTTTGCTCCCCGGAGGGTCATGTCCTCTTCAGCCTGTGGCCACCAGCTCAGGAGCAGGGCTGCCCCTGCTCGCCCGCAGCTCTCGGTGCCACGGCCCAGCACGGGGTCTGCTCCCAGCACTGTGGCTTTCATCAGGGCTCTGCTTGGAGCCCCTCGCCACCAGCAACAGCGCCTGGGTCACGCACAGCTGGAGGGCACTGGATTTAGGAGGCTGGCGCTGGTTGCTGGGGAATGAGAACGTCAGCAGCAGCAGCGGGCAGGCTGTAGTGCTGGAGAAACTAACCAAAGCAGGCAAATTTGCTTGGGAAGTGGCTCTTCTAGTTGCCACGTGAGCAGAAAATCTCATTATGGCTGTGGGAGTTCTTGTCGTGCTGGAGCCCGCAGGAGACAGCTCCTCTTTGCTGTGTTAACTGGCTGAAGCGTGATAGATAATAGTTTTACAGTGGACAGCATTAACATCTGTCAGGCAAAGTGATTAAATACCCATTAGTCATTCCGTATAATAGAAATAAAGTCGTTTTCCTAGACCATTGTCACAGTCTTCTACAGTAGAAATAAATGTTAAAGTGAAGCTTAGCAGAAAGAGAGTATTATTCTGGGACAATATTCTGTTCAGTTGACACATTCGCTTAATTAGCTATCATATTCCAAGAGATTTCTTTCAGAAAAATGTCATCATTTTAACAAAAGGGTGACCAATTGCTGACAGTTGGAACTTGGCAATAGCATTCTGTATTAAATATTAGTAAATTAATTCTAAAATAGCTGGAATGCTTTTTTGGTCCGTGCCTGGGTGTAGATAATTAGCTCCTTTTCAAGTGTTTTGCCCAGAAGAAATATTAAAGCACCTGCGTGGGAATAAGTAAATAGCTTTTTAAATCCTGGTGGGTCTTGCATGGCTTCCTTTGGGAGTTCAGTTTTGACGGCTGACACCAGCTCAACAGCCTCAAAGTCTGAAATCTTTCTCTCTCTCCCTTTCCAGAAGAGTGTATTTTTTAGCCTGCTCAGGGCAGGTCCTGGCAGCTTCAGCGGGTAAAAACGATAGTGCCCGTAACTGCTCCCGATGTTGAGGTGGTAACATGGGACCGAGCTCACACACTGGGGGACAAGAGACATCCTAGTGCAATAGCAATTGTGTGAGACCCTTAGAAAAGTATCAGTGAAGCTGCTGAGCTCCCCGAGTCTGAGCGCGTCCTTGCTCAAAAGCCCTTCCCTCACTTGGGGCAGGTCTCTCTGGTTTCCTTCAATGACCGCATCAGCAGTTCTTTGGTTTTGCTTCTATTTTTAAGGAGTTGTTTTATTGCAAATTAGCATTTGTGATAAGCACCAGATGGACGACATGGGAAAATTAATTCATAATTAATTTACATATGAGATGATTTCTAAGGCTGTATTGAAGTGACCCATTTTTATGTAGGGTTTGGTTAGGTAAGTAGTCTTCCCTTGGAGCTCCTTCTGGCCATGATGCCCCCGCTGAAACCGCAAGAACGGCTCCAGTTTTGTATATGTGTGTGTGTTTCTATGGGTAAAGCACTGACTTTTCTAGGAGGAAGGGAACTGGCCTAGCTTAGTGTGAATGGAAAAGTTATCAGATCTTCTTAAGTATACCAAGGAAAAGTTGCAGTGCAAAAATAAACTTACCAACTCATGAGTCTGCGGCAAGAAATCCAAGGAGACACTTCTGCTTTTGAGTGCAAAATCAGCATCTTCCCCAACCCCAGAATTATAAGGAAAGAGGATTTCTTTACACTCTAAAAGTGCCGCTGTTTCTAGGAATCATTTAGGTATCAGCCATCAAAATTGCTGCAGCGTTTGCCGCGTGCAGAGCTAAATGGGTGGTGTGAACGGGGGCAATTAGCTGGCGAGATCCGCAACTGGAGGGATGCTGCGCGGTGGCAGCGCTGCTCCTGGCATCCCGCTCTCCTGCTTTTGTGGCCCGCTCGGCCCCTTGGCTTCCTTTGTGCTGAAGACTCAACTTGCTGCCCAGTCGTAGCCTGGTAGAAGCAGATCTCAGCAGTCCTCTGGAGATGCGTGACCTGCCAGGGCGCTGCACCCTGGTCCCCTGGAGCCGGTGCGAGTGCTGGTGTCTGCTTCTGCTGCGCTGTTTATGAGAGGGATTAAAAATTCCTGTTATAAAAAAAGCGAGTATAATGTGGCACTATTTGAGGCTTAAGTTCTGCAAGATAATATTTACTTGAACAATTTAAATTACAATAATAAAGGAAAGCGGATCGCTGGAATGTTTTGATTAGTATTGGTTTGTATATAAGATTATTCTTTTTTACGGATCCTATTTTTAGCCTTGTTTGAACTGAGGAAGTCGCTTTGTAGAAGAATTCTTAAGATCCTCAAACTCCTCCTAGCTAGCTCTGTAACCCCAACAATTTAGCAGCATGAAGAGATACAGACCATCTGCACTGGATAATTATGCCGCGGTTTGACCAGACCCTTAGCTTCTGGGTTAACTTTGATTTATTATCTCAATGACATTTCAA